GCCTTTCAGAGTACTAGGATTACAGACATGTGCCACTATGGCCAGAATCACTACACAAACTTTTATATTCTTTTAATGTTTTATTATTACATGAATGCATACCTATTTATTTTAAAGTTAAGCATTGTTTATTTACAAAATTATATTTGTAGTCCAGGTTACAATGGATATTCTGGAATAATTAAATACTTTTGATTGGGGCTGGGCATTTAGCTCAGTGGCACAAGTGCCTGCCTAGCAAGCATGAGGTCATGAGTTCGATCCCCAGTACCAAATAAATAAAAACTCTTGATAATCCAACATTGATTGTCAAATCTCTTGTTTCTGAGAAATAATGCTTCCTATTTCCATGGTTTGTATGTGGCTACTAAATTTGCATATTCTAATAGTTCTACATAGAAATAAAAATGAGTCATAAGTACTAACTCAATAAAAGGGTATATAAAATTGAAAAAGGTTAAAATTATAACAGTTACCAATGGCTGAGTACTAATGCCACGCATTACTAACTTGTAAGTCCTCAAAACAATACTATAAAATAAGTACCTCTATTATCTTCATAGAAAACCAAGACCTAGAGATTGTTCACTTGTTTTTTTTTTTTTTTTTTACCGGTACCGGGGATCGAACTCACGACTGCCTGCTTGCAAGGCAGGTACTTATACCGCTGAGCTAAATCCCCAGCCCGGATTGTTCACTTGTTAATGGTCACACAGTTAAAATATTGCACAGCCAAAGTTTGAACTTGAATAGGCAATAAAGGCCCTGTTCTTATCCACTGCCTGTCATATTTACCATTCTACCAGCTGTGGTAGCATATGCCTAACAATCCCAGCACTCTGGAAGGCTGAGGCAGAAAACCACAAGTTCCAGGCCACCCTAGGTAACTTAAATCAGTCTCAAAATAAAAAAAAAATTTTAAAGTTAAGAGACATGAGGAAAAAAAAGTAAAAAGATAAGTAACAAATGTTATGGTAAGAGACAAAACCATTTATAGATAACAACTTACAAATTTGGTCTACTGCAGGGAAGTCAATCATTTACCACCTCCATCACATAACTATCTCATTAAAATTACTACATAGAGCTAGGTGTAGCAGCACATGCCTGTTAATCCCAGCAGTTAGGAGGCTGAAGCAGGCAGATTGCTGTTAGGTCAGCCTGGACTACAAAGGCCAGCTTGATCTACATAGTGAGACTGTCTCAAAAAGATTAAAAAACAATTTACAATATAGAAGACAGATACCATTATCACCATGGTACAAATAAAGACTCAGCCGGGCGTGGTGGCTCATGCCTGTAATCCCAGCACTCAGGAGGCTGAGATGGGAGAATCGTTGAGAGTTCGAGACCAGCCTGGGCTACAAAGTGAACTCAAGGCCAGCCTGAATTGCATAGCGAGACCCCGTCTCAAAAAAAAAGCCATGTGGCCAAATAAAGGCTCAAGCTCAGAGAAATTAAGCTATTTGAAGATCACCAACTAGTAGGTGGAAGAAGTACCTGCAGTACAAGGTTTTTCTATAAACATTCCTCCCAAAAGAAAGTATGTAAACCAGGTATGTGAGACACACCTGTAATCCCAGCACTCGGGAGGCTGAGGCAGGAAGTTGGCCACAAGTTGGAGGTTACCCTGAACTACATAGGGAGACCCTGCCTCAAAAAACAAAACAGCTAAATAAAATTAAAAGCTTCTTTTGAACTCTCTTTGAGTCTAATATGACCAACTCAGGGAACCATCCAGCCTCCCTGAAAAATGGTGTGTGTGGGGACCCTTCAAAATTAAAAGTCCACAGGGTCTGGTGGAAAACGAAACAGACTAGAGCTAAAGGTGACTGTTTAAATGAGAGAGAGCCCAGCCATGGTGGGAACTGGATGCCTTCCTGCACCCCTTAATCAAGATTGAATTTCTGTCAACAGGTCTCACTGGAAAAAAAAAAAAAAAAAAAAAAAAAGGCACATGCGTCAACCACATTCCCCCAAACAAATCAAGCTGCCAAGCAAGAGAATGAGCTTCACATTTCAAAATTATCTGAATCTGCCTCAGCTGTGAGTCTTACAAAACTGGAAATATTCTGAGTAAACTAGATATTAATGAACAATAATTCTACAAGAGACTATCCCATATGCTATGAACTAGAGCAGTTTTTAAAACTGCTTATCAAATGTCATCCATCATACAATATAACCCATTTCTTGCTTCCAAAAACAAAAACTCGAAGTACACAGGCATAGCCTTTATATAAATATATAAGGTTCCCTTCTTTAAGAAATTAACAGTTGAATGGGGCCTACAGAAAGAATTAGAGTATGAGGTGCTCTTTGCTGTAATAGGGCACGAACAGAGGGCAATCGGAGAGTACAGAGGAGAACGGGCTGAAGGACAGTAGCGAAGGCTTCCCGGTGCAAGGCACACCCAAAGGACAGAGTCAGGCCCACAGAGCTCCATGGATTAAAGATGAATGACCATTTTTTGAAGGAAAAAATAAATGGAAAATGGAAATGAATGGAGACAAACATAGAAGAAGCAGTGTGACATGTTTCCACATTCATCTGAAATTAACCTCCCGTTGCCTCCTGTCTCTCTTCACTCTCAAACCAAAAATAAACTAGCTTTGACAAGCTCTATAAATCAAAAGGTGCAGGTACAGAGAGTGTGGGGAAAAGCTGCAAGAGGGTGCATTCTAAGCAGGGCTGAAATAGTGGACTAGCAGCTCCTAGCAAAACAAAGACTGGCATGACAGATGCTCCCAAGCACCTCAGTATCCAGCTAGTGCTAAGTGCCTTCCCTATTTCTAGTAGAGGGAAAAGCAGCAGTGAAGCAACTGGTAATGCAACAGAATAAATAGATTAAGACTTCATCAGAAGCACAGTTCATTAGAAGCATCCAAGCAGTGTCATTTCCCCAAGAACATGCGCTCCTACTTTCACAAGGGATGAGATCCTGTTACAAGTAAAATAAGAGTGATTTTCATTTTACCCAAGGAAAAAAAACCTACATTTTTTTCTGTACATAAGAGATTAGCGAGAGTCACTAAATGGCAATATAATCCAGCATGCAACATTAACTGTTAATCAAAGTCACAAACTAAGTCTGAAGGAAGTTTAATGGACTTTGTGTTTCCACATTTATGTTTGTTAACTTCTATGTTGAAACTGGATCTGTTTACAGAAACAGATCTATGAAGCTTCCAAAATTGGGTCAATTTAAAATCCAATGACAATCCCTCACTGTCCAAGCACTCAGAAGTCAGCACAGGACATGAACACTTGTTCTAATTCATCACTGTCCAGAAACCTTGAGCAAATACATTTTTCTATCATTTCTCTTTCAAACTTGTGAGCATATCCCTTTTTCAGAATTACAAATTCAGTACTGCATTGATTTATGTATAAAAAATTCAAAAAGCCACCCCATCTAAACGCCTAACAGGACCCGTATGAAATCAATAATGCTGTTTACATTTAGCCAAATAATGAGCCAGATCTTTGTAAAACACGAAAAGGAAGTCTCTGCAGTATCCCAAAATATCCTACTATTCCAATAGTAAGAAGCTGAAGGTGTTTATAAGAGTTGATAGTGGGGTTTTAGGAAAATACCAAATTAGTCAAATGGCAATTACTTAGTCTTATAAAGATTTACACTCTTCAAAAAGCATCTGGATTGGGAAATATGCACACATACACAAATCCAAGAACATAATAAAACTTGTACCGCATGGTGTAGTAGAGACCTAAGTAGTTCTAAATTGGAGGAAGATTTTTAACCTTTTTTTTGATGCAGGGTCTTGCTATGTAGTTCAAGATGGACTTGAGCTCACTGTATAGCCCAGGCTGGCCTGAACCTTACGGTGAGCCCTCTCAGCCTTCTGAGAGCTGGGATTACAGGTATGTACCACCACACACAGCTGAACTATAAATTTTAAAGATTATTTTGCTATGGGCTGGGGATTTAGCTCAGCGGGATAAGCGCCTGTCTGGCAAGCGCACAGTTCCAAGTTCAATCCCCGATACCAAAAAAAAAAAATTATTTTGCTATTTGCATCATACAAATATATTATCTATTTTAAGAATACATATTTGTGCCTATTTGAATACATACTGCTTTAGTGAGTATGTAAATTAACATAAACATAATCCCATAAAACAATTCGGTGTTATGTATCAAGTCTTAAAAATAGCACTGTAAGGGGCCAGGGATTTAGTTCAGCAGCCTGACTACCCGCCTTGCAAGTGTGTGGTCGTGAGTTTGATCTCCAGTACAAAAAAAAAAAAAAAAAAAATAGCACTGTTAGCTAAGCATGGGGGCACCGAAGGCTGAGGCAGGAAGAATGCAGGTTCTAGCCCAGCCAACGACTTAGTGACTTAGAGAGACTCTGAAAATAAAAAATAAAGCTCAGGGTATTGCTCAGTGGAAAGGCCTTTACATTTAAGCACCAGTTCCAAAAAAAGGGTTTTTTTGATTAGCTATTTCACAAGGTAAAGTAGTATAGATGAAAAATTTTTTTAATAAATAAAAATTTAAAAAATAAAAACAAATGGAAATGCTATAGATGAACCATACATTCTATTATACGGAATATCATATAGCCTTTAAAATTGCAAATTTTTAAAGTTTTTATTAAGGCATGTTTGCAGTACTTTGTAATGATTACATCATGGGGAGTTGATATACATACATAGTATGTTTTAATTCTTTTTACAATCCCTTCCCTTCCACCAAGAGGTCCTAAAATTATTTAAGTACTTAGGAGCCTGACATATTAACGTTCCCTTTAGCCTTTTTTCCCCCCAATACTGTACTGGGGACTGAATCTAGGGCCTTTGCATAGAGCTACCTCCCCAACCCTCCCAGCTTTTCTTTTTTCCAGATAGGCTCTAAATTGTAGATTCAGCTCAAACTTGTGATCCTTCAGCCTCAGCCACCTATAGTAGTGTTATTACAAGCACAGGCCACTCGCACCCAACTCCCTTATTCCTTAATGTAATTCACTGTGGTTTACCTCTGGTTTAACAGGTCTGTCAGTTTGCGTGCCTACAGGCTTGACTGAAAGCTGCAAAGCACTCTCACCTCTTCTGAAACCTTGAAGTATAACAGATTCTTCTTATTAAGAGCCTGGAAATAGCAGAAAGATGAATAAAGTTCAAGTTCTTTGTAGTAAAAAAATAATATAAGGAAGTAAGAAGGGGCCATAAATAAAAGACCAAAGGATGCTTCTGGGAGTAAAACAGCAGCCCTCCCAACACGCCAAACGTAATAGATTATTATTATTATTACACCAGTTCTTAGACTTTTTAGTGTACACTTACTGTCTTATGCTGTCTTTGTGTTACACAGTCTTATCTTTACAAAGCTTGTAATTTAAGAACACTGATCAGTAGTGTATACCTCTACTCAAATATAGGACAAATAGGCTGGTTCACTTAAAATGTGAACTTCAACTACTATGTTCATTTATTAAATCTTTTAAATTTACTAAATCTTTTAAATTTCCACTCCTGGGCACAAGCACCTGCCTGCCTGGCAAGCACAAGGTCCTGTGTGCAATTCCTGGTACCAAAATAAATAAATTTTCACTTTCTAGATATGATTTTATACTTATTAAGTTTTCATTTCTTTCCCTTTTTACCAAGTTCCCCAATCCAAACAAATGAACACAGAATCCCCTTTTAGTTATCTATACTTTTCTCACAGAGTATTTGGGCTGCTGATCTATGTCCCTAAAAGGTCAGTTAATTGAACAAGGTAGCTGGGAGCTGGGAGTTGACAATGCCAACTTAATACTTAACAGAAAAAAAAAAAATATTTAACAGAAACACCCAGGGGCTGGAGGTTTAGCTCAGCGGCATAAGCACCTGCCTTGCAAGCAGGCAGTCGTGAGTTCAATCCCTGGTACCGATAAAAAGGAAAAAGACAAAAAAAACGAAACACCCAAACCAGCCAAATATGATTAGGGGGTATGATGACATAGACATAATATACTGATAATTGTACCGATGTTCTTTTTAATAGTTCTATTTTTGATATTTGAGAGAAATTCAAAGAAAGCCTATGGGATGTCAAGACAAAGTAAGACTAAGTAAGGACGTAAACTCAACAGGTGAACTTGATTCCAAGCAAAATCAGGGAGTCAAAATTCCTCCTCTATGCTGAGCGGGAATAGTTTGGAGGAGCGCTGGCTACTAAACTAAAAATTTTTTTGTGAAAAAAAATGATGAGGCAAGAAGATTACAAATTCGAGGGCAGCCTGGGTAACTCAAGAGATTTGGTAAGATTTTGTCTTAAAATAAAACAGGGGGCAGTGGGCCTCAGAGCAAAGGCTCTGGGTTCAATTCCCAGTACAAAAAATGGAAGGGCTGGGATTTAGCTCAATGGTATAAGTGCCTGCTTGGCAAGCACTAGGTCCTGAGTTGGATCCCTGGTACCAAAAAAAAAAAAAAAAAAAAAGAAAAGTGGATTTTTTTTGGGGGGGGCGCTGAGGATTTAGCTCAGTGGCCTAAGTGCCTGCCTGGCAGCGCAAGGTATGAGTTCGATCCCTGGTACCAAAATAAAATAAACGAAAAGAAAAATAAGGGGACCAGTGGTACAGCTCAACGGCATAGCGACTACCTGGCAAATGAGAAGTTCGATTCCCGGCACCAAAAAAAAAAAAAAAATATATATATATATATATATATATATATATATATATATGATACAAGTCGAGCTTGGCGGCGAACACCTGTAGTCCCAGCACTCGGAGATTGAATCAGGAGGATCACGATGAGTTCGAAGCTAGACTGGGCTACAGAACTGTCTCAAACAAACAGAGCGGGGACGGGGGGGGGGGGGACTATCTTCTAGTCCGATGTAAACCCGCTGAAACGGGTGAGGCACAAACCGATCATGCAATATTATCTAAATCGGTTTTCCTTCCTCCTCCAATTCATAAATGGTCTAAGAAATTTACAAAGGCAACAATGTCTAGGGACCCGATACAAAGGGAGAATCGTAGGCAAACATGGGTAACATAAAATGACTTTTAATTCCAAATAGATGACAATGCCAAGTAGAATTAAGGTCTCTCCTAATTATGTTCTCGCATCACCTAATTTGCCTTTCTGTCTTACATAGTAGTTTAAAATGCAGTTGTCTGTAACCGCGTCCCTTTTCTGCTACTAAACGCCTCGGTTCCCTTCTTTGTAAAGTGGGTCTAAAAATAACACCTAATTCAATGTTTTGATGCGAAAATTCAGTGGGAATGCATTCGCAGACTGCTTCGTCCAGTAAATACTGATTACACGCTACCAAGGCACAACTGCCGTTACCGTTATTTTTGGCCAAAGACCTCTGGTAAATCTTTCTGTTCCCTATTTCCCGAATAAATTTCAAGGCGAAGACAAGTGAGACCCAAAACCTGCACCAACGCTGCCCCGCCTAGGCGGCACCCCCTCCCCATCCAACAACACCTAGAGGCCGGGTCTAAGGTCGCGGATAGCGCTGGAATCTAGAAGCCTACCAATAGACGTTTGAAAATCAGGGGGAGGGGAGTCCTGAACCCCAACTGTCCCCCATTTTCCACCTTACCTCGTCTCAGCTCAGGGACGACTAAATGCCTCAAGCCCGCCCCAGAACTCATTCAGTACCGTTGAAAATTTGAACCCAGGCCGTCTAGTCGAATGCACCAATCACAACGCCAAGAATGAACAATTCCGGCCTCCTGATTGGGTCTAGAAAACGTAACGACGCCGGAAGTTAGGGGGCGTGCCAACAAGCAAATGGCCCAGAGGCTTCTGGGAAATATATCTTCTAGTCCGATGTAAACCCGCTGAAACGGGTGAGGTCGTACTACAAAACCCGGCGTGCACTTTTCCTCAGGAAAGGCGATACCACCGGAAGTAGAGGGTCCATCTACATCCTGGACCTCCTGTAAAACTTCAGAGAAGGAACGTTTTTGTTATGAATTTTTAAATTACCTTCGCTGTGTCTGGAGTGTTTGTGGGAGTTCATTTTATCAGGCAGTCTCCTTCCTGCAGCGCAGCCTCGGCCCCAGCTTCCTTCCCCTTGCTGCAGGCGTCTGACGCCGCTGCGGTCGGCCTTGGACTTCACTGGCTAAGAGGCAGCTTTTACTTGTCATCTCCAACTGCTTCCCTCGCTTTATTATTACTGCGTTGTGAAAAGGAAACGAATGCTCCGAAAAGTTGGGTTAACTTGCCTCAAATTATATTAAGTGAGGAGATAGGATTTGAAAGACGCGTTTTTTTGTTGTCGGTTTCTGCTTTTGAGAGAGGGTCTCGCTATGTAATTCAGGCTGGCCTCGAACTCTCGGCGATCCTGCTGCTTGATGGGATTACAGGCGTGCGCCACCACGCCTGGTTGAATGATGTTGTTTTTATACATCAATCAACATAATAGCAATAACAAAAACACTTCCTTTGTAATTGTTGAAAAAAATTCAAAATGTAATAAAAACAAACCCGGCGTGGTGTCGCACACCCTTAATCCCAGCACTTGGGAGGCTGAGGCAGGAATATTACTGCAAGGTCGAGGCCATCGTGGGCTATGAAGTAACCTCAAGGCCAACCTGAACTGCATAGCGAAACCCTGTATCAAATTTTAAAAAATTAAATTGGCCATCCGGACGTGATGATGCACAGCTGTAATCTCAGCACTTGGGAGGCTGAGGCAGGAATACTGTTCCAAGTTCTAGACCAGCCTGGGCTATAAAGTGAGAACAGGGTCAGCCTGAACTATACAGCGAGACCTTCACTTTGTCTCAAAAAAACAAAAGTAAAAAAATAAAAACACAAGTGGGAATATAGCACAGCCGCTTGGCACATGCCTGGCAAGCACAAGGTCCTGAGTTTGATTTCGAGTACAAAAAAAAAAAAAATCAAGCAGATAACTTTCATAGAAAAAACTTCATTGAATAGTTACTTAAAAATTAAACAAAGGGCCAGGGATATAACTCAGCAGCACCAGCACTTGCCTGGAAAGTGTGAAGCCATGAGTTCAATCCCAGAGAAAGAGAGAGAGAGAGAGAGAGAGAGAGAGAGAGAGAGAGAGAGAGAAACCATGAAAATATTAAATGAGGTTATATAATCATAAAGATGTTAATCCTTCAAATTAAAATTTCGAAGTAATTTTTTTTTTTTTTTTGTCTTTTTCGGTACCAGGGATCGAACTCACTGCAAGGCAGGGGCTTATGCCGCTGAGCTAAATCCCCAGCCCCTTTTTTTTGTCTTTTTGAGACAGGGTCTCGCTATGCAGTTCCGGCTGGCCTTAAGCTCACTTTGTAGCCCAGGTTAGTCTTGAACTCGAAGTGATCCTCCTGCCTCAGCCTCCCAAGTGCTGAGATTACAGGCATGAGCCACCAAGCCCCGGCAAATTTCGAATAATTCTAATGGAAATTCAAACATGTTTTTGTCATGTACTTTCCATGTTGATTTTAAAATAAATTCGTACAGAAGAGGAAAAGTACAAGAAGTGTGGTCTGAATTTCAAAAAATGATAGGTGTTAAACTAAAGTTGGTCAAGGGTACCCTAGCACTGAGATCCTTAATAAGAAACTGCAACCTAAGTAGAAGGTAAACTAAGTGAAAAACCTTTATCTTAGGAGCCGACTGCGTTTTCTTTTTAATAATCTTTTTTATGGGAAAAGGGTAAAACAAAATTTCATAACAAAATAATAGAATAACAATAGTCAATGTGTTATATATTGTCATCTTTAAAAGATATGAGCATTGGGGCTGGGGATTTACCTCAGTGGTATAAGTGCCTGCCTTGCAAGCAGGCAGTCATGAGTTTTGATCCCTGGTACCGATAAAAAGGAAAAGGACAAAAAAAAAAAAAAGAGCAATATGAGCATTAACATTTTATTATGACAGATAACTGAGTCTCACTCAGTTGTACCAGCTGAGCTCCAGTCAATTATATGCAGCCAACTGACTCAAATTAAAAGGAAAAAAAGGGCCAGGGATTGAGCTCAGCAGCATAAGTGCCTGCCTGGCAAGGTTATGAGTTCAATCCCTGGTACCAAAAATAAATAAAAAGAAGAGAAAAGAAAGTGACTCAAGAAAGTGGGCTACCAATCAGCTGTCTCTACTGCCCTTCAGTTTTCTGTTCATAAATGCTGCCTGAGCACAGTGCAGGCCAAAGTGCCTAGAACCTACTCTGAAATGGAAGGGTTAACCCTAATGTAGCTGGGTTGTAGAAGACTTAGCTGCCCCACGCAGCTCTCAAGCTTCCTTGGGGAGAGGATGGAGAAAGAGAATGAAAGCTGAGGTCAGGTGGAGCCCTTTCTCCCCACGGGAGGAAAGGAACTGCTCACCACCACACTGCACTTGTGTATCCTTTTGTATGTGATACATCTTTGCTTAACTAGACAGCCTCTCACAGGAGCTGGCACACCTGTTTGCCTGGGGTTCTCTGTGACCTCGGGGTGTTCCTTGGGTACTTCCTACTCACATTCTAGCTCAGCTCATTAAATTGCTAAATTGCCCAGGCTGGGTTCCAATTTGCAGTCTTCCTCCCTCAGCTTCTCAGAGTGCTGGGGTTAGACAGAACCACATCCAGCTATGGCTGTTGTTTTTTTGTTGTTGTTGTTGTTTGTTTGTTTGTACTGAAGATCGAACTCACAACCTCGTGCTTGCCAGGCGGATGCTGTGCCGCTGATCTGTATCCCCAGCCCTGGGCATTCCTTTTAATTGAGAGACTGACTTGTTATATTTTATACATAGTAACATGTGAAATTACAGTACTTTTTAAAAGTATAGTTTGGTCACTCACACTGTGGTGGTATAATCAATAAAATCCAGGCAAGAACACACTATGGGATAAAAGATCTAGATTTCTTTTTTTAAAAAAATGCTGGGGATGGGGATTTAGCTCAACGGCATAAGCACCTGCCTTGCAAGCAGGCAGTCGTGAGTTCGATCCCCGGTACCGATAAAAAGGAAAAAGAAAAAAAAAATAATGCTAAGGTTTTGTGATTTAAACGACTTTGTGTTGTAGAGATGACATATCAAAATGACTCTAGAACTTGCTTCAAAATAATTGGGAGTGTGCAGTGAAGGGAGGAAGATGGGTCTATAGAATGAAACAATATTACAAACTAGTAAAAATTTCTACAAATTGAAACTTGGTGTGGTGGTTCACACCTGTAATCCAGCACTCAGGAAGCTGAGGCAGGAGATTTGCTGAGAGTTCACGGTCAGCCTGAGCTACACAGTGAATTTGAGGCCAGTCAGGACTACATAGTGAGGCTCTGTCTCAAAAAATAACAAGCAGGGCCAGGGATTTAGCTCAGCAGCATTAGCACCTGCTTTGGAAGCATGCGGTTATGAGTCTGATCCCTGGTACCAAATAAATTAATAAAATAAAAATAAAATAACAAGCAGTGAGCATGGTAGTACATCTTTGTAATCCCAGCACTTGGGAGGATGATACAGGAGGATCATAAGAGAGACCGTATCTCAAAATAAATTTGAAAAACCAGGGTTAAGAATATAGTTCAGTGCTCCCTGGATTTAACCCCCAAGACCAAAAACAAAAAACACTTTTAAAATATAGAATAATTATATAATTATAGAATTTAGAGAAGAAAACATCAGAAGAGATTCACTTTTATCCAAACAATAAATTCTGAATAAAGTTTCAAATCAGATGTGAGGGACAAAAAAGTAAATAAAGGAATTGAAATATTTGTTTTCTTTTTTTGTTTTTGTCTTTCTTTTCTTTTTTTGTTTTTGGTTGGTTTTGTTGCTGTTGTTTTGTTTTTGCATTAGGGTCTTCTTATGTAGTTCAGGCTCCTCTGGACTCACTATGTAGTGGTCCAGGCTGCTCTCAAGCTCTCAGTGATCTTCCTGCCTCAGCTGCCCAAGAATTGAAAATACAGGCGTGTGCCACCACACCCAGATTTTTTTGAAGGGGACCACTATGTAGTGGTCCAGGCTTCTCTCAAGCTCTCAGTGATCTTCCTGCCTCAGCTGCCCAAGAATTGAAATTACAGGCGTGTGCCACCACACCCAGATTTTTTGAAGGGGACAGGGTTTGAGATAGGGTCTCACTATGTAGTTCAGGCTGATCTTGAACTCCCGGAAATTCTACTGCCTCAGCCTCCTGAGTGCAGGGATTATGGATATCGGCCATCATTCCCAGGCCATTTGCTTTTCATTTGGAGAAAATATTATATGGGATTTTTATCCACACCATCTACAAAAAAAATCAAGTGCATTAAAACTCTGAAGTTTTTTTAATCTAATATTTTAAAACTTTTAAAAGAAATATTTATGACTTTGGAGTTTCATATACACATGAAGCACTCTACCACTGAGACACATTCCCCACCTGAAATTTTTTAGGATATAAGGGAAAAGATGGACCAAAGCAAAAATTAAAAATTTTGTTTAACAAAAGAAAAGTAACCACACCTGTAATTCCAGCACTTGAGAGTCTGAGGCAGGAGGATCACTGCAAGTTTGAGATCAGTTTGGGCTACAAAGTGAGCTCAAGGCCAGCCTGCACTGCCTAACAAGACCTGTTTCAAAAAGATCAAAAAAAGAAAGAAAGAAAAAGTAACCAAACAAAAAGACTAAGGAGTAAAATATTTATAATGCATATAACTAAAATACAAAGAAATAAAACCTGGAAATCAGTGGAAAAGGACAAAAATGCAACTTTAAAGAGTCGGGGGAAACTGGCAAT